AGAGAGAGAGAGAGAGAGAGAGAGAGAGAGAGGCTTTCCGTACTTTTTTCGAATATGATAATATCAGAACAAATAAACAAACAAACATTCGACAAGCAGCACAGACAATCTCTCCTTCCCACACTCTCTGATCTCCCGCCTTTATCCCCGGCGCAGTCAACAAAACAGACTAGTGGCCAATCTTGCGTGCTGTCGGACGACAATAGCCCGTCTAATGAACACCGTGATGGCCTCACTGACCCCTGGTTCCGGCCACCCGGCCCTGTCACATAGACGTCGTTTCAGTGGCGACCATAGGCCAGGGCTAATCCCAAGCCTCAACACCTGATAACTTCAACACGAGTCGGCAATGTTTCTATGGAGCACCAATGTGGCCAAGGTTTATAGAAACTGAAAATTCAAAGGTTTTCTGTTTGTGTCTATTTATCTTGTATTCATAACTGTTTTTCTCTGCGTTTCTGTCTTTCTTTCTTTTTTCTCTTTCTTGCTCTCTTTTTTTCTCGAACATTTACTTTTTGTCCCTCTAACTGCTTCCTTCTTGTCCTATCTTGTTTGCATCCTCTGTCATTCTCCCCGTCTAACATCTGTTTCTCTCTCTTACTATCTCTCTCTCTCTCTCTCTCTCTCTCTCTCTCTCTCTCTCTCTCTCTCTCTCTCTCTCTCTTCCTCTCTCCCTCTCCCTCTCCTTGTTTAACTTTTGATAAATGAAGAATATCAAATAAATCTAAAATAAAAAGCCAACGCTCTCGCCTTCCAGCTTGTACCCCTCCTACCTCATCCAAACATCTCCATGGACACAAAGAAACAGCTTATCACTTCAATACCAGCTTTATGCTACCAGTGCCAGACATCACAAGACGCGAGAGGCAGAGAAATGAAAAAGTAAGAGCAGCTATTTTCACTGAGTCCTACCTGCATTTCATAGAAAAGCAGAGAATAAAATAGTTTTGCCACCTGTTACGTATGTCACCTAGTCAGCCAGCCTCGAGCGCCTGTAACACAAAGCACTCAGGCTCTAAAGGAAGAAGAAGGTCGCGCAAAAGATGGATTTAGATATTCAAGGAAACCCTGAGAAATTATCAAATTCCAATTGAAGGAGCTGCGGAGCTAGCCTACCGCAGAAAACTGCATCTCCCTTCGACACTTAAAGGTAAAAGAGGATAAAAATAAAAAGTAGAAGTAAAGCAAATATCAACTAAATAAATGTGCACACGCTCACACACACACACACACACACACACACACAAACACACACACACACACAAACACACACACACACACGTACACACACATACACGTACAC